AAGAGGGGGTGAAGGGAGGGCAGGGACAAGGCGAAAAAATGACAACCAAGACCTGTCATGTGAAGGTACAGGATCCCAGTAATGAATGTAACTGTATTGTATACCTAGATTGTACCAATAAACTCAATAAAAAGAAAAAAAAAAGAACAAGAAACTAGAGACATTTATAGCTAAGTGGATGCACATTGAGGACATACTCTTAAGTGAAACTAATAGGACACGTGTAAATGCCATATAGTCTCTCTGATGTGATAAACTAAAAGTTCTAGGCTTCAGAAATCATACAGAAATATATATGGGTAGAATGGCATGAAATGTAGTGGTTGGTTTCAAAATAATCTTGGAAGGAGGGGAAACTGAGTAGGAGAACAGACAAAGCAAGAGTGGTCAGAAGTGAAAGTTGTCTAAACAGGACAGGTGCATTCTATTAATATTTATATATAAAAAAAATATATATATATATATAAACATTTTCCTCTAAAACAACTTTTTTTAAAATGCCAAACGCGATGATTTAGTAAAATGTATATTTCAAGACTTATTAGCCTTTAGCTGTAAGGTCATGGTATTTTCAGCCATTTGGCTTCCTTCCCTGCTGAGCACTGTTACTTGTCATATTACTGATCATAGATTTCTAGGAGACCTCATCTATCATTTTTAGTGTTTCTTCTCCTTTTAAGTGGGCTGTTTAATGAGAAGGAGCTGCTGCAAGTCACATAAATACATCATTAGGCAAAAGGATATTAAGGAAAACATCAAACTCACTAATTGCTCAGTCTCTTATAAAGAGAAAAAGACAGACAGACAGATGGCAAAAAGGAATGATTCAAACAGGAAAAAGTTCCCACTCTATCCAAAGAAGTCTCCATCTCCTAACATCGCTGCATCAGGGATTAAGTTTTCAACACACGAACTTTGGGTGCTACATTAAAACCATAGCAATCTCTATCCCAACTACTCAGCTCTGCTGTTGCAGCACAAAAATAGTCATAAACAGTTTATATATGTGTTTCAATAAAGCTTTATTTATAAAGACAGGCTGTGGATCAGATTTAGTATATGGGTCATAGTTTGCCAACCTGTGCTAGAATATTATTTCCGTATGTGCAGAATATTGTCTGTTTTGTTAACTGCTGAATCACAACAAAACCTAGAACAGTGGATGACCCGTGGTATATGTGTTATACATACCTGTTACTTGACTGGATTAAAAATTAGTCAGATATTATTATCATTGACAAATGAATACTACACTAAGAGGAAATGATGTGCCATATCATCAAGAAGTGAAAGAATCAGTATTTAAGGACAGGTCTATCTACTTCAAAGTTCTGAGTGCTTTCACTATATTGAACTAATAAGAAAAACGCATTATTGAATAATTGAAAAAGCTTCACACTATCATATACGTATTTTCTACCAGCCCCTTTTCCTTGTTCATGGTATGCACTTTCTTCAGCATTAGGCCCAAATAAAGAATATGCTAACCAGTATGTTAAAACTATATTTAGATGTTAAAGCTATATCTAAAGATGTACAATCTTCATTTGATGGTAATATACAATTGATGCAACTAAATTGATTGAATCTTGAACAGAGTACTTAATTAGGAAGACTAGAGATTAGATTTTCAAAAGCAGACATCATGTATGCAGGACCCAATCAGTTTTATATACTCAGACATGTACCATACATGAGAACAACATTAATTTGTATTTATTACTTTCAAATCCACAAAGAAATAAAAATGTGAGGGAAAAACAAACATCAAAAGTGTCCTATTTTCCTTTGCCTTGGGAGCACCTCCTTTCAGTCCTCTCTGCATGTGAGGAGAGGCCCTCGTCTCCAATGCCATTCGTGCACAACAGTCCTGTCCATGGGCTGCTATTTCATGCTTTCAATAACCAGATTCCATTGCTGATCATAAGCATCCGCTTCCCTTCATAAGTCAATAATTTATGCCAGCTGTTTCCCAAAAATAGGCATTAGGAAGGCACAAGGGCAGATCTGAAAGCTGATTCTGTGGCCTCTATGTTGTTTCATCTTTTCTTAGCTTGTCTAGGGTGTTACCATCCTCCCAATAAGCACAGAACTTGTAGGAGTGAACTACTATTTTGCCAAATTTTTTCTTTTTGAATTCTTAGGACAAAATTGTTTAAAAATATCCGACCACATGGGACCAATGCTGCATACTAAGAAGCTATTAAAGTAAGACAAGCAGTACCTACACTGTTCCTTTGTCTTATGGCTTAATGTTTGTTATAATCTGACACTGTAGTATGACTGATGGTGATGCCAAGATGCTGAGAACTCAGGGCTTATGCAAGCACTGAAATATTATTAAACTCAGTGAGAGATAAAAGTAAAAGAAAAATGACATAATAAAGCTAAACTTTTCAGCTTCTGGACTGTCAGGTCTTGCAAAAAATATATCTAAATTTTATAAATCAACATAAATCTTTTCCAATAGAAGAATGCCTACTAACTCTACATAAGGATGGTAGGATGTATCTTATCTATTACCAACAAAAGCAAGAAATGTATCCTCAGAGAACTCAGGATAAACAAGCTACACTGGCTCCTGTAAAACCGTCTTGCTTATGCCAGTATATTTTTAGCCAAATAGTCCCTTTTTAAAATGTTAAATGATAAAGTGTGGAAGAAAATGAAAATAATAGCCACTATTTGTGGAGCATTTCAGTGTTCACTTTCATTTTCTTCTCATTTAATACTAAAAAAAGAAAGGTCCAGATCATATAATTTGTAAGAGGTAGCCTTGAGATTAAAACTGTGTTCCAAATGAAACCTCATGGTCTTGACCCTGAAGCTGTCCTGAGTGGATTCTAAAGAATGAAGTTATATACTATGAATCACATACAAAAAAGTCAGGAAGTGATTCTTAGTTACTGTAAGAACAACAACAAAAAAATGCTGATCAGAAATGACGCTACCAGGGCCAGAATTTAGTTCAGTGGTTCGGCCACCACCTGCTTCGCAAGCGCAAGGTCCTGAGTTCGATCCCTGCTTGGAAAACAACAACAACAACAACAAAAAATGACACTAACAAGTTCCACTACAAAAAAATAGAACCAGAATGAAAAATACTTTTTATCCTTTGCTGTTACTCTATGATATCCCAGAATTTGGAAACTCATGAGTTCCAAAGTATATTAAATCAGAGAAACAGACATTTATAGCCCTATTGCCTCTCCTCAGTGACTAATGTGATGCCTTTCTTTGCCAGGTGTACCCAATTTCTCCTTCTTAATTAATCAAAATATTGACCCGTTTATTTACCACGCACTATATGCTGATCTGTAATTGGTACTTCATGTTTTTCTTCATATATTCCTTATATAGTCAGATAAAGTAGATACAATGATATCATTTCCATTTTACAGATAAGGAAAAGCCAGTAACTGCTCAAGTTACATGTCTAGCAAGCGATAAAAATAGGATTTCAATCAGGTTTATCCCTGTTTTTAAACACTAAATCAGTAAAGCCAGCCAGGACCTGAAAAATCAACTAGTTTCAAATTCTTACTTTATAACTGAGGATATTTAAACACAAAGAGTTCAAGGTGAGCCGGGAATGGTGGTGCACACCTGTAATCCCATCCCAGCACTGAGGAGGCTGAGGCAGAAGGGTCACTTTGAGTTCGAGACCAGCCTGGCTACATAGTGAGTTCTAGGGTAGTCTGAACTACATAATGAGACCGTTTCTCAAAAAAAACCAAATGAAAACAAAAACAAAAACAAACAAAACAGAAAAAAGAAAAAGAAAACAATATGAAATATGTTCAAAGTTATACCTTGATTGCTGGTAGAGTCAGGAAAAAAACCCTGAGGCTTGCTTTCCTATGCTCCTTCTACTATTCCATGATGCCTTTTCATAAAATTTAAAAAATACATTCTGCTTTCCTATGCCAATAAGTATTCTAATAACTGTTCATCTGACTGATCTAGAGATGTTCCAGAAGCCCTCCCTGATTTCTCTGAAATCCTGCAAAGGCTATCAACCCTTGGAACTATAGCTGATTTAGAATTTAGAATGATCAATATTTTTATAATGCAAATAATATTAGAATTTATCATGTACTAAAAGTTCCTACTATTGATGAGTCCATGGCATTTGTTCCTTAGACTTAAGTTTTGCTATGCTTTTTAATCATCTATGCCCAGGCTATATCCTAGATTAATTATATTCAGGGATCAAATCTAGAGATTGATTTTTTTTAAATGCAAGGTGGCTTTACTGTACAACCAGCATAAAAATCAGGGCTTTAATAATTAGTAAAACTCTATAGGAATTTTTCAGGGATTATTAGATCAATAGCAGTAAATTAACACTATCCTCAAAAAATTATTAGAAAAAAGATTTTAAAAAGAAACAGTTACAGAAAACCAGCCTTAGTTATGTAACAGTCCTTTTCACTGAGGCTACCGCGAGGTACACAGAAATTTTTAAACACACATGAATAAAGTTTAGCTGCTAGCTAAATTCAAAATCATGGATACAAGTCTAATATTGTGATACAAGTCTAATACTGTTTGCATGCATGTAATCCGAAAGCAACAGCCTGCAATGTAATAGATGACATTCATGTATTAACTTACAGTCCTTTTTTTTTTTCAAAGCTAACTCTAACAGGTTTCTCCCATGATTTAGGTTACTGTTAATCAAAAACTGTCAGTATTTCAGAAGTACGTTTAATCATCGCAGGTTTTGTATTCATGACAGAAGACAGTGTGCCTGATTTAGGAGTTATATGGCCATTTAAAAGAGAGTTTTAATCATGTGAATTAGACAAACAGAATTAACATAATATTAATCATCTTAAAGCTTGTTAATTTCTACAATTTGATTCAAACAGGAAATACATACAAAATATTTATTCATTTTTTATTAATTATATGTGCTCTCAGGACATTTTGAGTTTTTCTTAATATTTCTGAATATTTTAACCCAAGCATAATTCAGAAAGAAAAAATTTACTTACAGGTATCATCCAGTTGGCTAGGTCACCATATTTGGAAACCTGCATTGCTCCTAGCATTGTTAAATTGACATGTCCCCTGAAAAAGAAAAAAGGAAACATAAAGCAAATGCCACAAGGTTTTTGCTCTTGTTGCTTAAAATTACCAGCCATTAAAATGATTCTATACACCCCGAAAATACATTTTCTTTCTCTGTCCCCACAACTGACTTCTAAGTAGATCAGCTCCAGGTTGATATAGAGAAATAAATGACCATTAAGAATTCTTTAAAAAAATTATTTCCTATGTAGTCACCAGAAACAAACTAGCCCAGATGAATAGTGAGTTTGTTTCCTTGAATGCGGGAGAATATAACTCAACTTGAAGATAAACACTAGAGTCAACACACAATTTGGAGAGCACATTAGATCTTTGGAATGGACTTCAGTGTTTCTTCAATTGAGTTGGCACTAAATATATTTTCCATTGAGGGTTCATTTCATAATGGTGGGCTGGATATTTCAATGCCAAACCTTCAGTGGGAAGAATTTCATAATGTCTTGCAGCCAAATAAGCGGGGATAGTTTTTTGGCTGGGAAATGGGACTATGTCTGAGAGTCCTGCTCATGTGCTCAGGGAATGACTCAGCTCATTCCACACCATGGGGAACATGAGGGGCTCCATTACTACATACCCTCTAATCATCGCAAATGATTCATCGCTGGAGAAAAAAGAGGCTCCTGGAAGAACAGTAACTGTTTCCTTGCCTAAACACACACACACACATAAAAAAAAAAGGGGGGGGGAAGAAAACACTATTAGATTTCTAGGAGAATCATGGTAGACAGAAATGTGCATATCTTCACATCTTCCAAAATTTTAATCTCTCTTTACCAAAATGCAGTGGCATAATGGGTAGGGGGACCCAGCAGGAGCTGTCCCTGCTGTGAACACAAGTATTTTGCTACCAACATTGTTCAGCATGCCCCTGCAAGGTGATCACAAAAAGCAGACTGAGTTTTATGGCACTATTGTTTAGAAATTCTCTACAGACAATGCACCTCTTATTGCCTGTACTTTTTCCAGCCTCCGTCCTCTCCCATTCGCTTCACAGGTGACTGCAAAATGCTAACAGGAATGAGGAGGGAGGTTGCAGGTGACACCACTCAGACTCCAATGCTACTGCATGTCACAAAAGCAAAGAGATAGTGAATAAACATGAACAGAGAAATTCAAATTTGAAGGGAATGACACGAGAGCCACTTTTCAGTTTGTTCTTCATTTTTTTAATTCCAATTTCTAACTCTATATTAACTAAAAGTATTTATCATCTGTCCATTATAGTATTTCTAATTCTACCAATGAAAAATACTATATTACAATTAAATTCACTTCTATTAAGAACTACTGCAAACATTTTACACATTTTTGTTTCTTTGGGTTATCAGAGTAATTTTTTATATCTTATTATTCCAATATATGTAGTTCCAAAGTATTTTATTTGATGGCAGTGAGAAATTTCTAATGTACAGCACAGCTAGTTAATAATATTGTATAGCATACTTGAAATTTTCCTAGCGAGTAAATCTTAAATGCTCTGACCACAAAGAAAAAAAAAAGGTAGCTATGTGAAGTGATACAACTACTAATTAACTTGATTTTGGTACTCATTTCATAATTGTATGTGTATATAAAATCATCACATAATAGACATTTGATATTTGCAATTTTTATTTGTCAATTATACCTCAATAATTTTGGAGAGAAAAATCAATGAACAATACAAAAAGGACCCACCTAATTCCTTAATATCATCAAGCCTGAACTCTTTTCTTTTAACCTCTCCCTTCCTTTCTCTCTGATTCATATTTATTCTCACACTCTTGTTAGTTGGTACTAAAACCACAGGAATTTGATGAAATCAGAAAAATGTGGTGATATGGCAAATGATTTTAATAACTTCCAAGCAGTCCTCTTCGAAGGACTTCTAAAATTTACGTCTCATAATAACAGTTCAGAGTGGGGAAAGAATTTAAGTCTACACACAGCTAATAATATCACTTGAATCATCCTCAAGCTGCTCTCATCTTGTGATCTACTTTCTGCCTGTTCAGGAGCTTCAGGTGCCCAAGGCCAACTTCTGGTCTCAACCAGAACAGTGTTCACAGGCCATTTGGCAACAGGTAAATCAATTGTCAGAACATATCTTGCAATGGCCCCAGTGTAATATAAGGCAGGAAAAAAAGAAAGGTAAGAAAAGCTATGATTCCAAAGATCAGAATAGGGAAAAATTCCAGCATATATCAGGACAAGAAGTAGTCTGAGCAGTATCAGCCCCTCAGTTAACCCCCCAACTTCTAAAGTCCTTCTGAAAGTTCTTATATCAATATTCTCCATGTGACTTCAGGAATAGAGAAAAAGTAAGCCTATTTATATCATACTGAAATATTTATTCCCTAAGGAAGTTTGATTCCAAATGATGGAAATATTTTCACATCTTTAAAAGTAACTTAAATCTGAAAAACTTTGGGAAACACTTTCTGACAAGGTTAGAAGGGATTATTAGATGGCACGTTATATTGGTGAATTGAAAGAATATATGTAAGTCTTTATCCTAAGTTTGGTACTCAGAAACATTAGCTTTTATTATTGTAATTGTTATTATACAGTGACAGAGGGGGTAGGCAAACCTGGAAGGAACTGTGTACCCTATGAAGATGAATACTTTATCACCAACATTGTTCAATATGGTCCCTCGGACAATGACCAACTTTTAATGGCACTATTGTTTGGAAATTCAAATGCTAGCTTTCACTATAGTCACTGTTATTATTTCTCTCTCTAAACCTACAATGGCACTGCCTCTCTTGGGATAAGGGCCATAAGTCCTAGCAATGGGCTTATATAGGCTATACAGCCAGACTGTCTAGACTCTGGGTTTTACAACAGGCACAGTACAACTAAAACTTATCTTAACCCAACCTCTATATCAAACAAAATCAGACCCTCACCATTTCTATGAGGTTAGTTAGTGTCAAGGAGGAAGAACTGGTATAACAAGAAAGGAAAAAAAAAACATAAAAATTGCTACTCTTTGTTTTTTTAGGTATTAAATAAGCAGGACTTTCATTTTCTTTTTCTGTTTTCTTTTATTTGGTGCCAGGGATCCAACTCAGGTCCTTGTGCTTGCAAGGCAGGCGGAGGCAGGCAGCGGAACCACTGAGCTAAATGCTCGGCCCTAACTGTGACTTTCAAAGTGTACTCTCACTAGCTGGTAATATATAGGAAGAGCCTTTCCTTATGTGATTCATGAACCATAAGTTTATTTTTTTTCACTTGACCATAAGTTTATTAAAGAGCCCAGAAAGAGCTTCCATAGAAAATGGTTATTAAGCTCTTGCTAATACATAATACTATCTTATAAAGTGTATTCTTTTGAAGTAAAGTTAATTGCCAGCATTTTAAATTTAAACATTTTAACTCCTAAAAATTGTACGTATTTATGGGGTACCATAAGATTATCTTGCTATATTTACATACACATATCATAAAGTATTAACATCAGTAATATCTCTCAATAATCACCATTTCATCATGGTAGAAACATTCAAAACCATTTTTACTGGAATTTTTTCTGGTATGCAATAGCATACCAGAACATCTCACTCCTACCTAACCTTTCTCCATTCCTGCCTCTCCCTTAGAATGGTAACTACCATTGTATGCTCAACTGCTATGATATCAACATTTTCATATTCTCCATATGACTGAGGACATATGGCATTTATCTTTCTGGCTCTGACTTATCTCACTTGGTATAATAGTCTCCAGTTTCATCCATGCTGTCACAAATGACAGAATTTCATCCTTTTTATGGTTGAATAGAATTCCACTATACATTTCCTGAATCCATTCATCAGTGGATGGACACTGAGGTTGTTTCCCTATCTGGCTATTGTGAATAGTGCTGCAATAAGCATGAAAGTGCAGATATCTCTTTGACATACTGATTGATTTCATTTATTTTGGTAAGATACCTAGAAGTAGAATTAATGGATCATACAGCAGTTTCAGCTTTAATTGTTTTATTGTCATTATTTTGAAACATCTACTTTCAAAATAAAAATAAATACCCTAATATTGATTTTGTGATTTTCTAATATAATGTCCAAATTTAGTTTAAAAAGTCATACAAATAAAATCAACAAATCAACAAAAAAAATCACTCTTTTACTTGGCTATCCTTAACTGATTAATCTTCTCCAATTTGTATGTATATATGAATCTTTTATTTGGTCAAGTGAGTGACTCAGTTTCATACCATATCCTTTGGCTTATAATTTAATATGTCATTCATCCCATCATGAGTAAATGTTCATTATGGCCCTTGAGAAATGTTACAAACAAAATTCAGCTACTGGTTCTCAAACCTGAACAGCCATCAGAATCACACGGAGGGCTTATAAAAATCCAGGCGGCTACTGCACCAGCCTCCCAGTTTCTAATTCAGTAGGTGTATAAGAGGGCTGAGAATTTCTTTTAAAGTCTCTTGTGATGCGACACTGTGATCCTAAAGACTTGGAGAGACACTGCATAGGCAAAGGTGCTAACTATCCAGCAAAAGAGCTAAATATAGGCAAATAACCACAAAGCAAATACAATAGAAAGACACTAAAAATGTAGGTTCTAGAAAGAGGAATTTTGAGCTGCAGAGGGATTGGAAGAAGACAAACAAGCTAAAACTCCAAGAATAGGTAGGCATAAGGCATTTTGACAGTAAATGACCAATAGGGAGAAAGAAATAAAAACGAAGAGGGTAAAACAAATATCTGTGAAGGGCACAGAGAAAGCAAAGTCACAAAGTAAAGAAAAACTGAGTCATGGTCAGAGTGCACCTTGTAGTCCAGTGTGAGTAACGATGGCATCTTTGTATGACATAAAAAGACAAAGCTGGAAAGGCTGGCTGCAATGATTAGAAAGACAGCAAATGCTGTCCTATTTGTACTTTAGTCTACAGGCCTGTGACTCCTCAGATGTGGAGCAGATCGTCCAGAGCAGAAGTCTCAACACTACTGACCACCTTTGGAGCTGGATTAACTCTTCATGGGAGGCTGTGCTGGCTGTTATAGAATATTGAGCAACATCACTGCCCTCTACCCACTAGAAACCAATCCCATCTCCTCTCCCAAGCATGACAATAAAAATGTATGGCCTAAAGAATGAGAAATTAGAGTCATTCATAGAAAAATGGAGGCATATTGGAGTCATACTCTTAAGTGAAATAAACAAGACACACATGTGTAAATACCAAATAGTTTCCCTGGTGTGAAAAACTAAAAGTGTAAAGAAGATCCAAATGGTATAACTGATAATATGAAATAGGAAGAAAAGGACTAATGGTGTAGGGGAAGTGGGAAGGGTAGGGGAAAGGAAATAAGGGAAAAGAGAAAATGAAAAAATGGAAAAAAAAGTCTTTGTAAATAGGAAAGGGAGGAGGGAGTGAAGGGAGGGCAGGGACAAGGGGAAAAAATGAGAACCAAGACCTGTCATGTAAAGGTACAAGATCCCAATGATGAATGTAACTGTACCTATACCTATAAAGTACCAATAAATTCATTGAGAAAAAAATGTATGGCCATAGTGCCAAAGGTCCTCAGGGCCAAAATCATACCCTTCCCTCAAATCCACTGAAAGCCACTGCAGTAGAAGGTACATGACAGGGGGCCAGGGCTATTTACAGACCATTAGATTAACATGTTGATTCCTTCTCAGGCAATTTTTACAAAGGTAAGTCATTTAAAATATTAACTGTACATTAAAATTATAAAACAGCACCAGAGAGAATGCTGTTAACATGCAAACTGCACATTAATATTAGAAATTCCAAAATTTCATTGGTTGTAGGTTGGAGCCCAGATATCCACGGGACCCATGAAATGTTCTAAACATTGTTGTTTGCATCTCTGTAAAATTCATATCATCATCAGGTGTAGCTCAGTGTAAAACAAAAACAAACAAGTATGAGGAACAGGAGATTGTGGGAGTTCTGTCCCTAGCCATGTTACCTGGGGCCCATCTCTTCACTATCCTGGATTCACATTCCCAATCTGTGTAACAAGGTTTCACTTGAAGATCAAATGGTAAAATATATGTGAAATAATACCCTCTAAATAATATGACTCTTCCCCAGTGGTAATTAATTTTTACATAAACTTATAAGACTTTTATGTAGCTTAATTTCTTTTAGAAAAAGCAACCCTTGGAAATAGTTCTATCATTTTGAAATTTTGAAATAATGATTATACTTAAATACATAATATTTCATATTCATTCAAAGGGAATTCTTTAAAATTAACATAAACAATGGACTGATCTTCCAGGTAATGTGGGAAAGCTGAAGAAATTGCCAATTTATATTTTAGATTCTCCAACTCACATTATTTCTCCCTTAATTTGTATAGCTCCAAAATCAAAAGTGACAAAAATCCCAAAAAGGAATTCAATGAAATAGTTAGAATATTACTAAACTAATTTGTAGCTTGGCTTCCCATTTGCAGTGAATTCTTGTTTTACAAAGTAGAGTAGTTAAAGATTATATGTGGCATTTCAGAATTTGCAATATAAATCAGGTGGCTTCATTAGGACCAAGCTACTTTTAAACTCAATGGAATCTGAAACTCAATGTCACTGAAAAGATTAACTACTTTTCTAAGGAAAGCAGGATTTATGAACTCAAGCCTGAAATTTGGAAAATGGAGTTATTCATTTTACAAATAACTCACTAACATCATAAATTAATTAAACCAAGCAGCAAATATTTTCACAGATCAATGAGCTATTGCTAAAGGGTACAGTACAATTAAATTATACTCTTGGTTAAATGTCATTGCTTTATCACAGTGGGCCTTTCAAAGTTGAGCTGTGTTAACTAATTCAACAATTCAACCAGAAGCTGTATTACTTCCAAAAACTCCAAGTATCAAACATCAGTTCTACTTGGCAGCTGGCCTTTGTGTTCAGCTCATATTACTTCTGAGATTTACATACACTATTTTTGAATGCAAAGTAAGAATAACACTTTTCTATAGGTAGAATGAACAAAACCAGTACATAAAACTATGCTAGAAAATAAGAAGTGTGGGCAGTTCCACATCAAGGATGAGCTGTAACCCAAATATGATGGCAGTGTTGCTTCAAGGTCAGGCAATGACAATGGCCAAAGGCCCAACCTTTTCTGTCTCCTGTAGAGGAAATACATCTAGAGTACAAATACATTAACTCCAAGTCCCATTCAAACAACAGACTACTAATAAAAAAGGCAAAGTATAAGATTACAGAAACTGGAGATGATAAAGGTAGAGTCCGTGGTTCAAAGAAACTCTACTCTCCCTCACATGCTTGGGTTTTAGTGGTAGAGTACACCCTTACACACCCATGTGCATTTGAAGGATTTTCTCTCACTTCAATGAAGACTAGAGGACAGTATGAACAACCTACAACAAAAAACCCAGTGCCATATATTTTCTTCTTGCTGCTATAGATTCACTCCCACCTTCTCTACTAGAGACAGCTAACCTATTTTGACTTAGGATTGGCCAATAGGAGGCACAGGCTGGAGACTCAGCAGGGGAAATCTTACACCACACCAAGGCAGCTGCAAGTTGGTGGTATTTTTCTATCAAAGGCCATAACACCTATTAAGTGACCCTCTCCTATTGCTGCCCCCTTGAGGCCCACGGGTGATAATAACGCCCTGTGGGATTTAACCATCCAATCCTGTCCATACCCTTATAAGCTGTTCTTTCCTTTAATTTTTCTCAGTAATCCCATTGAAGAGCGTTCTCTATATATATATAGTCAGCACTCAGACTAACCCACCAAAGCTCTTCTATTAAGAAGGTCTCCAACTGCATTTTATCCTTTAATTTAGTCATCCCTGGATGAGAAAGAGATTTCAGAAAAAGACCAAAAAGGCTTATCTTAATGATAAACATAGTGGAGCCATCTCTAGGAAGAGACAAAGAACTGAGTCCAAATCCATGTTACCATATGGCACAAAGTTAGGGTAATAGCAAAGGTGAAATAATATATTACAAGTTGCTTTACCTGCATTGATTAGATCTGCATCAGCTTCATGTTCTAATGGATATGGACCCTGTCGAATACAGCATGTATTTAGTTACTAAAAAGAAACTTTTCCTGACTCATACACCAAAATTTAATATAAATAACTTTCTCATAGTTCCAGGAATGTTATTTATCATCCAAAGACTTGAGGTGAACCTTTTAAAAATAATTCCGTCATTTTCATAGCTATGTTTCTCATGTTGATTCGTCTTTCCACAGTAGTAGTTGTGACTGGGCAGATAATCATTTTCTTATCAGTTTGAAAGAAACATTTTGCTGTTACACATATAGGTCAATAAAACAAAAAAATAATTACCTAGTACCTAATTTGCAATCACTGTTATTCATTCAACCCTCCTAGTAGGATCAATGAATATCAACTACAGATACATTATTTGTCTAGAGGGACTTGAAAGCAGTTTCATTTTCCCAGGGTGCAGCCCTTAAAGGCTTGAGTTTGGAGTTCTAATATTATCTTTCTCTACACGGATATTTTAATGCTCCCTTTGCAACTTTTCATAATAAGTTTTCTTTTTAACTGTGTGTGTGTGTGTGTGTGTGTACACACTGGAGATCAAATTCAGGGCTTCACACGTGTTAGGCAAGTCTACCACTGAGACACATTCTTAGCCAATTCTGTATATACTTTATGAGGCAACTCTACTTATCTGAATAGAGCAAGTAGTTTCACAACATAACACATATTAAAGAGGGGGAAAAAGGAAAAGGAAGGGACATACAATAATGAGGAATGAGGAAATATTGTCTATAACATTTTTGCATACTTTCAAGAGACCAAGAATTCATCCTGTAAATAAACTGAAGTGGCAACCAATGCTTTAGATGTACAATTTGAATTTTCCTTTAAATGTTAACTATAGATAATTCACATTAAGTTATTTCTCTAGTCTTCGAAATGAGGAGCTTATCATTCAAGACAAATTTTAAGGTACTTGAAAGAATTGAAGTCTTTGACTTCAGTAGGAATCTGCTTTTATCCAGACACACATTTTTGTATCTTTGTAAATGGTCATGATTATCACTTCAGTTATTCAGTATCAACTATATGCCCATGGTCATTACTTATATACTACATACTAGATATACATTTTCTACATTTGTTGAATTAACAGTTAATGTATACTGGGAAATAAGATACTGGACATTCTGGAACTTGTAAGTAACCCATACCATACTTAATAATTAATGAAAATGTAAATCTCCATCTTACCAAACCCAGCACTCCATTTTCACTTTGAAGATGAACAGTCATATTCGGGCTTATAAAGTTGCTAGCCAGAAGAGGGATTCCTATGCCCAAATTAGCTAGAAAAAATAGATGTTAAGGTCTAGCACATTAAAGACAGAGATTATGCCATAAAATTCTGGACATATAAATCTGAACAGAAGTCATCTTTCTAGAGAACTTGCTGTAAATATAATTACTGGATATATTCCCTAATCACCCTCTGGGCGCTAGCTTGAAAACAAAAATCTCTAATTAGTCACAGCTTTTTCAATAACATTATCCTTTCCACAAGGAAATCAAAGGGTGGCTTCAGAAGCTAGTCACAAAGTCATTTTAATGAAAGTGTGAGACTCATTTTATTAATCTGCACAGCAAGTTTAGATGGATGTATAACTGATATATCATTAAACATAGCTTGATCTTTACTTAAAATCTATTTTCATTCATTCAAAACTCTTGCTAAAATACAGGTGATTTAATACTCAGAAACGATACCATTTTAAAATTTTCAAGCTTTTCAAGGATACCAAAATATCTGCCTAAAGTGTATCAATTCCTTTGGGTCACTGTACAACACTCATTGGTAACCAAATCTTCTTGGAAACATAAAGAGGAAAGGATTGGGTGTGATATGTTTCATCAGAGACAATAAGACCACATAAAAAGTATCTGTGTTAGGCATCAATGAGCTAACTGAAGTTTCCCTCTCTTAGATGATTAAACCAGGCTCCAACATGTTTGTACACCTTCATGTGGGTTCAATCCTGCTTCTCAATGCAGGCAGGCTGAGCAGATAAAAATATCCTGCCTGACTGCTATCCATTGCTGTTAACTGTCATTGCTCATGGCAGAATTCACCAAAATTCATACAAAGAATGATGGCCCTCTGATTAGTTCTACTTACAGGGATATCTTTACGAATCTAGGCCAGAAAAAAATAAACAAAGTTTATATATGCCACCAAATAAAAGGCCAAAAGGAAAACTTGATGACCCTAGTCACTTCTTGTGGACACAGTAAGACCATGAAGGTATAATGACAGCCTTATCACTCACTTCTTGGCAAAACACAGTCTAATGTAGTTATTTGTACTTCATTTCTCACTCTCATGGACATAACACACTGAGATAATAATTCCATCACTAACAGATATTTTCAGGTAATTGCAACCCAAATTATCATCCTTATACCTCAATTCTTGCATCGTACATTACAATTCTCTCAGTTTAAAAAATATTCTTTAATAAATCATATATCAGAGAGAAAAAAACTGCATTCTTTTGGTTGATAAGTAGGTGATATGAAAGGACAATATAGTTAAGTGGGTTGCCAATATTTTTCATACACAATACATAAATACTGAATAAAGAACAACTAGAAGTCATTATTATCTGAAGTTTGTGTTGTAGTCTGTTTTTAAAAATCAGTGGTAACTAAAGGTATAGGGGAAGTGAGAAGAGTAGGGGCAAGGAAATAAGGTAAAAGAAAAAAAATGTGAAAATGGAAATAAAGTGTTTGTAAATAGGGAAGGGAGGAGGGGGGTGAAGGGAGGGCAGGGATAAGGGGAAAAAATGAGAACCAAGACCTATCATGTAAAGGTTCAAGATCCCAATGATGGATGTAACTGTACTGTATACCTAAAATGTACCAATAAACTCATGAGAAAAAAAAATCAGTGGTAAATCAACTGATTGAGAGTAAGAGGAAAACCCAATGACTTTTACCTAAATCAAGATTCACTATGTCTCTTGCCTAGGAAGTAGTCAGATGAGTGGCATCATGATAAATCTTGTCCCCTATGTGAATTTCTCACCATATCACAAAATATAAACTCAAAAATAAAAATAAGAGATAGAAGTTTTTACAAAAGGACAAAAATAAAACTCTCTCAGTCATGATCATAGTTTAAATGACTAAGGAAGTTCACAAAACAAAAATACTTCTTATGTTTCTATTTCTTCATGTCCTAGGTCTTTAAGTATGGTTTTACCATATCCAAACCTCAACAAGTATTTATCATACACTATTTATATTTTTACTATATAGTTCAATGTTTTAGTGTATTAAAAATTAGCAAAATGGTAAACAGTCTTACTACTATTAAAAGCATTTAATCCAAATACTAATTGTTCTAAATCATGCCTACGCTAGCTCTTTTTTGCAAAATTTAAATCATTCACTGAATATCCCTATAAGGTATTAGCCATAAAAGAGTACATATATAAGATCCTTATGTAGGGAAGCAGTAATTAGTTAGGAAGGTGAATTTTATATTTCAATGAATGTGCAAATGTCAGGATACAGAGAAAATAAATATCACCTGTTATTACTAGTGATGTTGAGATTTGAAATCTTCATTATGGGTAACCTCTTTTCTAAATAAACTCTACTTTAATGTCAAACTGTACTGAAATCCACTGCATACGAGAAAATATGAAAGTGAATTCTTGGTTGCCACTTCATTTCAAAAAGGCAAACTGATTAAAATCCTAATTCCATATACCTTTGCATCCTCTGGTTACATGAAACATTTTGTACAAAAAGTAAAATATTTCTCAAGGGTTTTAAAAGTTACCATGGACTAGAGGTAAAGACCTACCGAGGAGACTTTGTAGCCTAATCAATACAAGAAACATACGTATTACGCCTTTAGAAAGGATACCATACATGCCGTCCTCAAATTCAAGAGCCGCCCGTCTGATGATACGTTCCCTTACATTATCTCCAGGCTTATCAGATTTGGTTTTTCCAGCACTTTCCTTCCGGATTGATAAACGCTTTACAATAAACAGAAATAAAGCATTCACGGTTGATGGTATCCTCTGTATTTTTTCATGCTACAATATAAAATTTTACTGAAGAAGTTAATTCTCAATACTACTAGAAGGCAGATCAATAATGCGTAAGTTCTCCTTTTTTGTGATATTGGGGATCAAACCCTTGGGTGCTCTACTACTAAGCTACATTCCCAACTGTTTTTATTTGTTTAATTATTTTAACTTTTGAGATAGAATCAGCTAAGTTCCCCAGGAGAGGACTTGAACTTGCAATTGCAATGGAAAGTTTTAAAAAATAATATTGTGACATTTGAAGACAGAAATTCTTCTTAAGGAAGTAAATGAACCCAGGAGAGCTTGAACTTGCAATTGCAATGGAAAGTTTTAAAAAATAATATTGTGACATTTGAAGACAGAAATTCTTCTTAAGGAAGTAAATGAAAGAATTCAGATTGATTTAAGGAAAATACACTGGTTTGGTCTCTTTGAAGTAAATAATCCCCCAGTTATTGTTATGCTGGCTGCCGCTACTGTTACTAATAAAACCTAAACTGGATTCTCTTCAGGTGTCCAAAGATTGAGCCAGAACAAAAAGAAGAATTGACCTTGGAAATCTGTTTCTCAGGGCTGTTGGAATGTGTTGACCAGGAATTGCTGCTGCCAACTGCCTATTTCCATCTGAAGAATCTAAACTGGTTTTGCCACATGACCAATCATACAAATCATGAAAATATCCAGAAGCCAGCCAGAAAACTATTTCCATTACTAAATCTCCTTGCCTCAGGTTTCTATTTGCAAATGTCCTATCCTTTTCCCAAGATCCCAGACAACAGTTTTAGATTTCAGTGTCTTTCTATTTGATGTCCACAGGGTAATAAATATCTCAATTCCCTCTTAGTGTGTGTCTATTCTGTTGCTGATCCCTGGACACTTTTGAAACTTGACATCAATGCCAGCCTAGCTGGTTATTCTTTATGCTCTCACTGGCCTTGGAATATCTTCAATGTTCCTGGTACTCAATTCTTGCCAAACTCATACTGACCTGCTGCCCAGAGCCCAAAACAAATTAAAAATTATATTCTTGCTGTACTGCATAAAAGTACAAAGTAATTTTAAGAGACACAGTTATTTGTAAGAAATGAACATTAAGATTACAACAGGGGTAAAAATCACCAAAGACTCTCTTATTCTATACCTTCTACAACAGTCAGCCAAAATCATACATTGTAAATTAGAATCATTACAGAAACCTGACAAACACAGGCTAGAGAATTACAGGATATGGAAATTTGCACTGTGTGAACACAAGGTCCCACTGGACTTGACAGTAACACAGTCCCTCACGATGGAGACATGAGAAGCTCCCACTAAGATCCAAAGCAAGACTTCTAGCTCAGCTCCAATCTCATCATCTGGAATGGCCTCAGCGACACATATCTTTGGGGTCATATTCCTGAATACTGACAGATAAGCTAAGTCAATTACCTCAATTCTTTTCTCATATTTTTCTCCCTTTATAAGGCGATGTACATAAATCTTAGGAATATGGATATCTTCTGGAGCAAATGATCCAATATCCACAATTTCTTCGACCTACACAAAGAGAAAAAACTTTAGGTAGTGAAAGCTTAAAATAAATGTTTTGGTTTTTTAAAAAATATATGTATATTCACTCCTAACTTAGATTAGATGTACAATGTAAAAATACATATGTGAATATGCATATCTTTCTATATATGGACACGTGTGTATTTGTGTAATGTCTATCATACTTTCCAGACCCACCAAAGACAAATTTAAGTACATATGTCTGAACATAAAATATAGAACATGAAGATCCAGAACTTATTCTCTTCCTAAAAGAGCTTTAGTTACAAATTTATCAAGTGGTTGTCAGTACAGCTGCTTGAACTTTCACAAATTGCAGTTCAGCTATGTGAAACTTGAAAGCACATACCCTAAACACAGATTTTCAAAATTAATGGGAAATTTATCACAGCAAAGACAAAAATCTGTAACAACATCTGCTTGATCAATTGAAGAGCATTTTAAATATAGATACAAATGCTATTTGCAACAGTTTTTAATTATTCTTGTTAGTTTCCTAGGATCGTGATAAAACTGCAATGACTGGAATAATTTAACTTAAAGATGGATAATTAATCTTAATATGGAAATTTCAAGAAGAAAATATTAACTAATAACTAGAAATACTAAAGTTAATTAGAATTAAAGTCATTCACAGAGCATACGGACACTTTGTAATAATATGAAGTATCCTCAAGTCGATCTGCTATTTTAGAATTCTTTTTAAAAATTGTCTTTTTTGTTGTTGTTGTTTGATTTTTTTTCCTTTATTGGTACATTTAGGTATACAATACAATTACATTCATCACTGGGATCTTGTACCTTTACATGACATATCTTGGTTCTTATATTTTCTCCATTCCCCTGGCCTCCCTTGACCCTTCTCTATTAAAAAAAAAAAAAGTCTTTGTTTCCATTTTATTCCTTTTCTCTTATTTTTTTCTTTTCTCTTCTTACAAAATTGGATTTTTTTGTATCAACATAAAAAATGCACAGACAAGAATCAAAAAATAAATAATCAAACTAATCTCTACATTGCTGTAGTCAAAGAATTAGCTTTCTAATTTAAGAAAAAGTGTAGCTTCAAACTCTAAAATCAGTTTAAAAACTATGAAATAAATTATAGAAACCTTTTCAGCCTATGTGTTTGAAGATAATAATGAAAATGTCTTTTTATGTTTAATGCTTCTCCAGAAAGTCAGGCCTTCAGAACTCTTACTTGAATTACTGTAGCAGCTTCCTAATTTGTCCTGCTGCCCTAACTGTTCCTTAGCAGGAGCAAGGAAGAAAAGGGAGAGGGAGAAGGAAAAGGAAAAGAGAGGAGTTTTATGGCTTCTATCTAAATGTCCACCAAAGCTTCATGGACTCTTAGGTGGGGCATTTCAGAGGTGGCTTCATCTACATGGACTAAGGGTATATGACAACTGAATTAGTCCGTTGATTGATTTAGCATAATTCTGGAGAACCCACCCTGGGTATGTGGGGCAGCAACCAGTAAATAGGCTTGTAATGTGAATGGAATAAAAGGGAAAGGGAGGATCACTGCTGGCTACTTTCTGCCTGTCTTGCCATGGGCTGTTTCTCCTCTGCCACGTCCCTCTGCTATGCTGCCCTACCTCCGAGCCAGCTTACTAAGGACTGACAATTCTACAAACTGTGAACTAAAATAAACCTTTCCTCCTTTAACTTTGGGTGTTGGATACTTTGTCTCAGCAACAAGAAATCTAACCAAGATGGAGAGAGAAAGGTGAGGAGGAACAAAAGGAGGAACAGGAGGAGGAGGAGAAGGATCAAGAAGAGGAGAAGTGGGAGGAGGAACAAGATGAAGAAAAGGAGGAGGAAGTTGTCTGTAAATTGGAATTGTTGATAGTAATCAATCTCATTCACTTTTTTTTTTTTTTTTTTTTTTTTCCCCCAAAAAGAATCATACCACAGTGATATATGTATACCCATGTTTATAGTGGCACTGTTTGTAATAGCTAAAACTTAGAAACAAACCTGCCTCGCAAGAGCAAGGACCAGAGTTCAATCCCTGGTACCAAAAAAGAAAAAGGAAAAAAAAAAAAAAGAAAAGAAAAGAAAGTTTCCTCAAAAAGCGTCAAATCAGTACATTTAATTACCGAAGCAATAACATCATAAATTTTACAACAAATAGAATGTGTCCTTTTATTTTAAAAAAGTAAAAATGTGGTTAAACATAATCACTTGCATGCTTTGTCATCATAACATGAACAATGTTCATATTGTAGAAAATTCACATGAAGCATTTGTCAAAACAATACCAGCACTTAACAGTTTTATAAATGTCAATTTTTAAAAAATCAAGTTTGCTCAGAGTTGGTTACTAGAGTTAACAGCAAAGCAAAAAAAACATCTGAAGTATAAACCAAGTGAAATACTTTCAGACCATCTATAAAGACTTTAAAAGGTCACAAGTAGGCTAGAAATGATGGTGCATGCCTATAAGCCAAGCACACCAGGCATGGTGGAACCTGTAATGCCAGCACTAGGGAGACTGAGGCAGGAAGACTGCCATGAGTTTGAGGCCAGGGTGGGCTACACAGTGTATTTGAGGCCAGCCTGAACTACCTAGAGAGACCTTGTTTCAAAAAAATACCACAAGAATCCTCACCAAGGATGGCAGAAAAATGTATCTCCTGACATTAGAAGTAACAGAGAGGATCAAGGACAGGGAAAAATAGCCAGCTGTAAGTGTCCTCAGACAGGATCAAGATGAAAGAAAGGTAGCTAAGAACAACCCAGACTTGTTCCTGGCACTAAGAATAGTTCTCACACAGTACCATCTGCTACAACTAGAAATCCAGACATTTCAGGCTTCTCTAATTAGTACTTGTCTTCAGTCATTAGCGGGAAAATAGAGACTAGGAAATGTTAATCATTATTGATTTGAACTTTGTTTTAAAAGGTTATTTTCTGTGCTCTCCACTCTCCCTTTTGCATAGTTCTGAAAAATTTTTATTTTAACACTCACAGAAAGATAAGTATTCATCCCTCAGTGAGAATGTTTTTATATTTACTTGGCAAACATTATGTATATCTCAAGTAAAAGAATAGCAGAGCTATAAAGCAATTGTGTTCTTAATTTATTATATTTCAGTTACTACCTCAATGTTTACAGGACCACAAAAGTTGGTCCTAACATAAAAGTCTGTTAGTAAAAAATGCTTCAGACCTGCAAAATTCTTTCTATAGTACAATGTGTGTGATGGGGTTCCCTGAGTCATTTGCTGAACTTTCAACAAAGTTAAGGAGGAATATTTTTCTTTTGCCAAGAAATGCCAAAGCAGACAACAACAGGCAATGAAGTCTACAATCATGAGTAATATGAAATAACCCCAAAATAGCAAAAAAAAAAAAAAAAAAAAAAAAAAAAAAAAAAAAAAAAAAAAAAAAAAAAAAAAAAAAAGAAAGAAAGAAAGACATGAAAAACTAGAAAAGTGCAAGAGTGAGGCAATGAGCAATATCAGAAAATGTTGCAAGCCAGATGCAAAGATGGTCTGGATGCTAATTTAACCCAGTGAATAAGTAAAAAGGGAAAATGTAGAGAAAAAGGGAGGTTAGCATGTAAGATATCATTCTCAAAAATCCAACAAAATTAAAAAAAAGCAAAACCAAAAGGAACAAGGAAGTTACTATCTTCTTAAGCTTCATGCTAAGGGATGAATAACAAGTGCAAATATATATGAGAAACTAATTTGAAAAAATGAAAGCTAAAAAGGGTCAAGAACAAATATCTAGTCTTAAATGTCTATATGGAAATGCACAGAGGCTACAAAGAATATGCAAAACACATAGCCATTCATATTAGATTTATTATACTCGTGTCTTTATTTTCAGTTCTCTCCATCACCTAAAAACAATGACAAACATGATTTCAAAGTCGCTACCAAAACTTGGTAAGTTAGATTTTGTGCCAAAAGACATTCTACAGTGTCTAGTGAAAATAAACTGGCAAAAGAACATGCTTTGTCAAGAAAAAGTGCACATGTCTGGGAAGCCACTACCTAGGGCTTAAAAGTGGTAAAGACTATTCAGAGTTTAAAAATAGAAACAATATCACACTGGAGGGCATATAATCAGACTCTTCACCCAAAAAAATATTTTTTGAAGTGACAAAACTGGCTTGGAAATTAAAAGAGTGATGTAATGAGATGATATGCAAATTATTTGAACAATTTCTATTCATCGTATTCTTCTGATAAATTCTGTATTGCCTTCTAACAATTTCTATCTTCCAGAATAAAACACTAATAGAAACAAGGGTTAAAAATGAGAACCAAGACCTGTCATGTAAAGGTACAAGATCCCAATAATGAATGTAACTGTACTGTATACCTACGATGTACCAATAAACTCAATTAAAAAAAAAAAAAAAAACACTGACAGAAACCATGACTCTAGACTCCCAGCTAACCAGGATAAATTGTTTGGTAATGTAGAAATGATGAAACTCTTGAAAGAAAATGACAATATAAAATTGGAATCTGTAAAAAACAAAGAAGTGAATCCTAGACACATATAGAATTATTTCTTGAATTTGAAGAAAAACAGACTTCAAAATGTTTGGAGGAAAAGGAAGCTAGATCAAATGGTCAGAAGCTAAAAAAAACAAATGGGCTTAAGAAGGACAAGAGCATCTCAAAACTTTCATTCTGACCATATGAAAACAGGTCATCTTGTTGATGAAAAGAATGTAAAGAAATGAGTACAGTAAGTATAAGATGTATCAGTAAGTATAACATGGATGAAGCAGGTCACATAAAAGACAGACATGAATGACCTAGGACAAAAAGAAATCACCTGAAACCTTAAGAGAAATTTCAAAAGGTAAAAAATTGGAACAAGATGGCCTTGTCCAAAATGATAAAGGATGGCTTCTCATGAAATTTTGTTGTTGCTGCTGTGCAATTTAAAAATGATAATCATCACTGTTTGGGCAGAAGACAGGAAAAAAAACAGCAGCTCAATTCCATTGAGCTTCAGTC